CCCTCCCTGGATCCCTTAGCAGAAATGCTCATATTGAGCACTGGTACAGTGTCTAATTTTGACAATCTAGTAGAGCAGAAAAATTATTAATACTGAATCCATTTGCTTGTCTCCCCCAGTTTCTCTCCTCCACCCTGAGCACTCCAGACTCCCTTCTCATCAGTGCCAACAGTCATCTGAGAAGTCTGCTACTGCCCATTTGTCTTTGCATGGACATCTGGCCAGGACACAGGAATTTTGTTTTGCAGAATAAATGAAAGTTCAGCTTCCTGATGCTGCTGTGACACAAAAGCCAAGGGCCAGGGAAGCACCAGGCCTATGAAACACGAGGCACATGTTCAAATCTCTTTCTGCTTGGAAAAGTTTCAGCTCTCTGTGAAAACATTCTAACAATGAACCTGTACATTCTTTCCTAAGAAAACTGTACAGCTACCTTGCTTGTTACAGTCCCCTAGCAAACAGCCACTGAACCCACTGGCTGGCCTGAACTACACTCACAGCACATTAGGAACTTAGATGGTTCCTAATGATCTCCTCAGATCTCCTCAAAACACACCAAATCCACAGTACCAAGAGCTTCAAAGGCTTTTTTTTTTTTTTTTTTTTGTCTTTTTACTCCAGCAGGAAAGAAATGGGGTAGTTTTGTCCCATCCGTCAGTACAAAGACAGTGACAAGACAAGTGATACTGCCTGCCCAGCAGCAGGCACACAGCTCTGGATTAATAACAGCAGGCACTGTTCCTGGTTTGGGTGCTGCTGGATTAAAGGGTGTGCAAAAAGATGAGAGCCCAAGGACAGCTGGGACATAAAGGGCAGAAGGGAGAGCTGAAGTCACCAGAGCTCAAGCACTGGAAGCATCACCAAGACAAAAACTGCTTCAGCAATTCCAGCGCTCACACAACTGCCCTGACGTCCCTTTCCCTGTGTGACCTTCACAAAGCAAACCTGAGTTTCCTCACCCCACAGCCCTGTAAGAAAGGCACACATTACCTGAGAATTTGAGACACCTCTGCTGCTGTTTTTGGCTTCAACAACAGCTCGCTGCAGCCTGCAATGAAAGCAAGAGACTCTCAAGGCAAACCATAGGCTGTACAGAGAGCAGAACGAAGAAGGTGGCAAGGGGTGATGTCTGAAACACCAACACCCCCCCTTGTGAGGCACAGTTAGTCTACAGCACTTCAAGCAACTTGTAAAAACCTCTTCTGTGTCTATAAACTTGGTTGCCAGTGTGAGCAACGGGAAATGTTTTCTATCTTAGGACGAGAGGCGGTGGCCTTAAGCTGCACCACGGGATGACCAGCTTGGATATTAGGAAAGATTTATTAGAAAGAGCAGTGAGGCACTGCACAGGGAGCTGGGGTCACCATCCTCGAGGTGCTCAGAGCTGTGGGCACTGAGATGTGGGTGGTGGGCACGGTGGGGTCGGACCTGGGGATCTGAGGGGTGTTTTCCATCCGTAGTGATTCTGTGATTCTATTCGTATAGAATCTCTGACAAAAGGCAGAATTCACAAGGCTCGCTGCCGAGGCTTGGTCAAAAACTCACAGGTTTTGAAGTGAACGCACTGGTTTTAGGAAAACAGTCGATTTGCTTTAACCTGAAACACATCAGGCAGCTCGTATCTCTGCGACGGAAAGCCGGGTCTGCAGGCAGAGACGAGCGAGGTTCCAGCAGCACCGGGACAGCAGCAGCCCCACTTACCTCGGACTGATTTCAGCCAGTCCACATTAAAGGATTTCAGCTCCTCGGGGTCAGAGCACGCCCTGCCCGGCATGAGGCCCTCAAAGAAAGCCGCATCGCCGGGGCCGAGGCGGGCGAAGGGCAGCCGCCGCAGCCCGTAGCGCTCGCAGGTGAGCGGCACGTCGTGGCAGCGGGGCCGGGCGGTGTGCAGAGCGCCGCCGGGGCGCTGCCAGGGCCTGACGGCAGCACGGCACGGCCGCCGCCGCTCAGAGGCCGGGCTCTGCGGTCGCCACGTCCCGCAGGATCCCACCAGCCGCCTCAGCTGCGGCCAGCCGTGCCGCACGGGGCGGCCGGAGCCTACGGAGATCCCCATGGCCGAGCCGGGGGAAGCGACGAGAGGCGCGGCCGAGCCGCACGCCGCCTGCCGGCCGGAGGACCCCGCGGCGCTTCTTTAGGCCGCACGATCCCGCAGCGCCACCCTGCGGATGGGAGGACCCCGGCCGCGCGGTCCTAGCGCCCGCCCGCCCGCCCTCTCCGCCTCATCACCTCCGACAGCTCGGTTCCCAAAAATATTTTATTTATATCAATATATTCATTATCTATAACGTGATCCAAAAATACAGATATACATTTATTTTTTTTTTTAACTTTACATTCTTCTTCTTCTTTTTTTTTTTTTTCTCATAAAAAGATTTATATTCTCTTCCATTTACAAAGGGAACATAGATCCAATTCATTTAAAAAATAGAGCTGTTGGGTTAACATCGTTTCACCTCCAGTTTGGCTGAGCTGTAGTAAAGCTGAACACCACCGAGCACTTTGGTGCATTGACAACTGTCAGTGGAACATTCCTCTCCGCACCACAGTCTGTCCATCCTTCTCCATAAGGGCGTATTTAACACTGTACATTCAAAATTCAGGAGAAAGATTTTAACTCTTTTGTGACCAGAAGTGAAGGCTGCGGGTCACCCAGCCCAGGGGCAGGCCGGGCACATTGCTGGTGTGGGTTCTGAGGACACGTTGGTGGTGTTACGCTGTACGGAGCAGCCAGGTCTGCACCATGTGCTGATCCCGGGTCCTGCTGAAGAAGCTTCTTTCCCTTTGAGAATTGATGCCAACTTCTAGAATGTCATTTCTTGTTGTTTTTTTTTTTTTTTTTGCTTTGCTGGTTGAAATGGAAAGCATCTGCTTCTCTGAGCCCAAGAAAGCACGTACTAATAAAGTACACTTTGCTGTCCCACCTGACCATCTTTCCCAAGTGTAGGGCAGTCAGCTTGGCACTGACCTGCATAGCTGTGCATTTCCATACCTGCACATTTCCAGCAAGGTCTCCCAAGAGGCACAATCTACTTTTGGATTTGTTTCAAATCCAACGCTTGATTTCCATGATTGCTAAAGCCTTAAGAGATAAGGGAAAGAAGTTTACAATAGCATTGGACGGAAGGAGAAAACAGAACTTGGGACAGCATCATAGCCTTCAGGTCAGTCACCCTTACAAGGAATCCAGTGTAGCAGGTCAGTGAGGTACAGGCTTACTGCTGGTACTGAATTACAGGCTGGCTCATGAGGTATCACAATTACATTTACTCCCAAAACAGAGGCAGAGAGGAGGAGAAGGCTGGCTGTATTTCTAAGCCCAGCTTTGTGAGATTGTGCTTTTCTTCTCCCTTCCCACCAGCACTCTGTTTCTAACCTGTCTGTGTAGTTTCGGGATGCTTTTACAATGGCAGCAATGACAAACATGCATCTTCTGTAAACATTAACCACAGAAACTTCATATAAAACATGGAGTGATGCAATGCAGCAAAGATGTACACTTCCAACAAAAGGACCCTGCAGACAGGCTTTCTGCACAGCAGATACATCAGAAGGTTCACAGAAAACCTGTCTCAGTACCAAAAGGTTTCTCTGCAACAATCCTAACATACCTGCAAGCAGCTACAAACCCAACAGAGCAAAACAGGAAGGCTAAACTGGCACGAGCTGAGTTCCACTTTCCTTCATGGCAAAACACAGATGAGAGGATCAGGGCAAGACAAGAAAAAACTTTTTTCTTTTGGAAGCTGGTGCCAAAGTCAGATTAGATTTGTTTTGGGGTTTTTTTCCTTCCCTTCTATACTGTTTATTCAGGTTGTTTTTAAAGCAGAAGAAAGGGCTTATCAGGAAGCTTTTCCAACAGCCTGTGTCAAGAGCTGGTATGCAGAGCAACATGCAGATGCCATTAACAGCCATCACAGGCTCACAGACTGTGCTCCATCCTGCTGCAGGGGTTTTTGCTTTGTTTTCTCCCTCCCCTGGCAGAATAACCTTTACCCACAATGTCTCTGTTGTAGGCAGTTAAGCCCCATAATACAGTGGATACCTAAAGACAACAGTTATCTGTTCTTCCCTCGACTTCTGCATCTACTGTTAATTCAGAGGAAGGAGAAAAAAAAACCCAAAAAACTAACAGAACACAGAGTTTTGTTTTCCTACTCATGATTTCCTTCTCATCCTTTTGCTGCAGCAACTGACACTGTGATGATAGCAAGCATTCACATTTGAGATCTGAAAGGCAGCTTCAAGAAGTCAAGCACTGGAAAACTTGCCCCCTTGAAAAAGACATGCAGTAATTTAAAGACATTCCTGCTGCATTGCCTTCTCTAATGGCACTTTTTCATAGCAAAAGCTACCCAAAACCCAAACTCCCACCACGCTACCACACGGCCACCTTTCAGCTTTGCTGCATCATCACTGCCACGTACACATTGTCCTCATAGAATCTCCCCTTAAAGCTTGAGATATAACAGAAAATCAGGCCTTCATCTTACTGTATGAATAAATCGGACCCCCTATCACAATACTCTAGGTTTCAACTTCACAGTAACACACTTAAAAGCAACAAAAACTGACAGGAAAGGTAACTTGTTCTCTCAGTACTACTGTCAACACTGCAGGACAACTCCTTTGATATTTAAAGGTTTCGTTCCAGAAGACACAAGCCTTTTACAGAAGGAGGTTAAAAGCCATAAAGTTTGCTTCTGTTGAGGCTGTAACGGGGATGTGAGCAAAACCAAGTAAAAGAAAGGCAGTGCAAAGTTAGACAGAAGAAATTCCCCAAAGGAGAAGATATGGTCTTCTCTCTCTCCCATATTCATCCTGCCAAAAGCAAGCACGGCATTTGGCTTTGAGGAAACAGACACTGTAAACAGCCAATCAGCCTTCTTGATCCTCTCTGTACTACAAAACTGCACAACAAATGGGCATCACACCAAAACAACCGAGTTGTTAATCCTTTCCTGTAGGCTGCATGAGAGAGAATTGCTTTTTCTGTCATGACTTCAGCAATAGGATGCATCATACTGAAGAGGTGGGTATCTCAATTTCCTGCAGTGCCTCACAGGGTTTAAGAGACTCTTAAAAACAAGCAGACTACAGCTATGGGCTGTTCGAGCACTTCAGAGTAACACTGATCTCAGTGCTGTGCGAGAGTAACATAAATAAAATCCCTGTGGCAAATTCCTCCCTTCCCAAAGTCACTTGTTACAAAAGAACAGGAATTAGAACTGGCCGCTGGACAATTAAATAGCATATCAGAAATGGGAGAAGGGCAGGTTTTAAAATCACAATCGAAATCAAAGATGATATTGCAACATGAAGGAAGGAATATATTAAAACTCTTCTTGCCTCAGACGAGGTATTCCCCTTTACTTCTTACTTTTCTTTTTTTCCTGAACACAGCGTGGACAAAACCTACAGTGAGGAAAAAAAAAAATTGGTTGTTAATTAGTACCTAAAATTAACAACATATTACTCGGGAGCCTTTCTATTACTTGGAAATGAGTGGAGGTGGTGTTAATTTTAGCCAACTGCAACACTTCATATGGCATGCAGCAAGACTGGGCAGAGAGGGAAGGAACTGTATGGAGTCTGGTGGGCAGAAGCGAAGGCTTCTGGGGCTCACCTGCCCCTCACAGCTCTGAGTCACTCTATTTCATTCACCCAGAAGTTATCCCAACTGAATTCCTCAAGGTTGGCACATTAGCTTCCTCCACAGTAAAAGGAACAATGATACCCTGCTCCAATCCCTTCCTCTACCTCCAATGATTGCAAATGGCTGCAGTGCACCTCTGCATAACCTCACTTCTAATACACATCTTACAGTTAGACTAAGAAAGTCACCAAACAGAAAGATTTGCATGTCTTTAAAAGTCTTCAGACTCAATACCCAGCTGGCCATTCACCTGAGTGCTGCCACTGCAATATCTGATTGGAATGCAATGACCAAGTCATACTATTTGTTCCCACTTGATGCAGTAGTGCTGTTGCATTTCCTCTTAAAATTTTGCTTTTGTTATGCAAATTGAAGAGTGTGGCATTTTAACTGCAAAAGACAACATTTAGTAAAGCTTTTATCCTCTGCAAAAGAAAGCAAGCATAGAAAAAGCCTATGACTCTTTCTAAAATGGGCACATACATAGGCAAAGCAAAGGCTGTAGTCTTACATTATGCTCTCCTAGGCAGAATAGAAAATATTCTTTTCCCAACCTTAATCACAGCAACAAATGCAGACACGAGATGTAAGCTGCACACACTGACAAAAGCCTAAGCTCACGAACTGCTCTGCTTATCATGAAATTTTACATGCCTGGGTCCTTGTTTTGCTCCCATGGAAATCTAAGGAAGCTAAGACTCCTGTGGAAACAGTTTCTAGGAAAAATTGTCCCCTTCTACCTTCACATAAAAGCAGTCCGAAACCCAACATGATGTAAACCTCTGACCACAAGAACAAAGTTCCTTTGTCAGGAAAGGTCACCATAGGGTTTCAATTCTTTCTGTGATTCTTTTTGAGAGAAACTGTAGCCTGACAGAAGTCAAAAATCTGTGTGTCCTTACCATTTCCCTTTTGGTTTGGTGGTGAGGTCCACACAAGCAAAGTGGAACCATTCAATGGGGCACTGCAAAACAAAAGAAAAATCCACAGAGGAGATGTTTAGCAGGGCTACATTCACTTCAGATGATCAAATTAGCAAGTACCCCCCTTGGATTTCACTGGGCTGTGATGCTGCAAACATCATTTCAAAAGATACAGAGTGCATTTTGATAATAAAGCAATAAAGCAAGTGCTTACATCTGGGTTGTCGCAGCCAATCATCTCCCCGTAGGACACCTGGTGACACAAGCAGTAGGTGGGCTCATTGGGGTCCACAGGCATGTCCAGGACGTCTGAGGGATGCACTGACAGGATGGTGTCAGCAAACTCGGAGCTGCAGACAAGGACAAAACACTTGTCATCACTTACAGGTGACAGAACATTCTCAAGATTTGGAAAAGTTAATTTGCAACAGTCATCTAAATCATTTTTAAATCAGAAAGTGGGTTTGAGCTAATACAAAAATATGAGCTTGACTGTAAAGGATTAAAAGACTGATTTGTAGATTCTACGAGTACATGACTACAGTAATAAAATTCACATATACCTCACTTCTGCCTGCAGACAGAATAACCTGATTTTTTTTTCCCTAAACCATTTTAGCACATACTCTTCTCTCCTTGTCAGGTATGAGGGAACCACCTTGCTCTGAGGAGCTTTGACACAGCAGTAACACTTAACAGAAAATACTTCCTTTCTTTTCAACTTACCCCTCCATTTAGCCAATTGAATATATTGGAATTAACGGGGTCCCTTTAAAAAAAAAATCACATGATAGAGAGGTTAAATGCCCTCTTCCTTGCTTCACAGAACAGAACTACATTATTCAAGACTATTTAGGACACAGCTGCTGTTTAAAAACAACCATGAAAACTCTGCAAGATCTCTATAACAGCAACACAGCATCAGCACTTGTCCCAATGGGGAAGTGTTTCTTTACAATGAATATCACAAGCAACTGTTAAAAATAGCTGCATGACAAAAATCAAAGGTATTTTCTCCCAGCTTGCCAACAGCAACAGAGGCTCTGATCTCGTCCTTCCAGACAGAGGGCATTCCAAGCATGCTGGGTTTCCACTGGCAAACAAGGAGTTAATTAGCAAACTTGTCTTAGGGCAGACTCTAATTAGTGAGACCAGAATACTGGAACACCCCTATCAACCCAACACAAGAGTCATAAACAGGGTAACACAAACATGAGGAAATTCATGAAGTGTTGAACCCAAGTCATCAGAAGTGTGACTGGGTTGTCTTACCCTCCTTTCAGCTTCTTTTTCTTTGGTGTGTCCTCTTCAGACGTCCGCTTGCCTCGACCACGAGAGCTTCTTTTGTCTTTCTGACTTTTTCCCTCTATAAAGAAAGATAAAGCATTGCTTCCATCAGTTTGACTACCATCCTCAAGTATTTTTCTTTTGGTGCATTTACTGTTTTGAAATCTTTCTGTCACGTGCAACTGAACACAAACACTGATTATGAAATGCACATACACTTTTCTGCCACAAACACATTGATTTTGCAAGTAATATCCCCAAGTGTCTAAATCCTACATCTGCAGTTTTGGTAATTCATAAAATCATAGAATGGCCTGGGTTGCAAAGGCCCACAACGCTCATCCAGTTCCAACCCCCTGCTATGTGCAGGGTCACCAACCAGCAGACCAGGCTGCCCAGAGCCACATCCAGCCTGGCCTTGAATGCCTGCAGGGATGGGGCATCCACAACTCCTTGGGCAGCCTGTTCCAGTGCCTCACCACCTGCTGTGTGAAAAACTTCCTCCTAATATCCAACCTAAATTAGATCATCGTATTTTATATTAGTCCATAATGTCACACGAGACTTTAAATAGCAACATATTTGATTAGATACATAGTGCTTTCTTCAAACCTAAGTGACAGACTAAGCCTGAGACTAAGACTGTTAAACTCAAGAACAGGAGGAACCACAAGCATCAGTTCAGTATTATCACAGTTAGTCCTCCCTTAGCCAGCAGTGTCCTTACAACCAGCGACCACTTCAGGACACTGACAAGGAGAACCCAGCACTAAATCTTTTCCTTCTCCTGTTTATTGCCCAGTGCAACTCTATAAATACCTGAAGAGCACTTAAAATAAGGATGGGATTACACCATAGCGTCTAGAAATGACAGTCTACTCCGTACCCGAGGCCCTCTGCTTAGATATGCCCAGTGCTGGAAAAGGCTGTTCAACACATAACATTTACACACTTTTCAGGTTTCGTGATCCAGAGCTTTCAAAGTCACTGCCCTCCAGTTTATCCTTCAGATCCGCTTCAAACCGCGCCAAGTCCGCATCCAGGCGGCGGATGTGCTTATCCACCTGCACAGAGAGGAAACCACCAACTGAATTCAAAACACAGAAACACTCCCAGTGCAAAACAAGGAAGGTCTGGTAGCTTGGCTGCTCTCCCTAAAAACATGAATGTAACAGTTCGAGGCAAGGCATGAAGGGCATATCAGACTGGAAAAGGGAAATGGTACACACGAAGGGAACTGGAGAACACAGAGAGAGGAAAAAATGCTGAAGAAAAGCAAGAGGACCGAACCCTAATGCAAGCAAAGAGAAAGGAAGGAAAAGGGAGTGGGGGAAGGAGAGTGCAAGCAACCAGACTGACAGTTTGTAGAACAACACAGAAAGATTAAAAAAAAAGCTCTCTTTCTGTCACTTTGAAAATACATTATTCAGTTGGTATCCATTACGTGTGTCAATATTATCTCTGGTATTTCACTAGCACACTATTTAATGAAATTTAATAATGAAGACAGGCTATCTCCAGTATCGTCAGTACACACTGCTGTACTTCTCATGTCCACAGTAATGTGGCTTACAGAACAGAGGTGCAATAAAGGTGTTCAAACCTTCACCCCCACCCACCAAACAGCTGTGCTGCTGCAGTACCTATTCATGAAGTTGCCCTTTATCTAGAAGACATGAAATTATTTCTTTTTCTGCAGTATTTGAAGTATTGCAGCTTTAGTAATTAGAACTCAAAGCATCCCTAGAAGCTACGTACAACACACTACGTGCAGACAAAAAAGGGATTCCCCTCGCTTAAAGTCACCTATGGGATAAAACAGAGAATTACTCAAGGAACAGATAAACGGACAGGAGTCAGTGCAGAAGAGGAGAAAAGTGGGGATCTGCACCTAAAGAAATGCCATTTTCCCACTAAGCCCAACAGGCAGAGCCGGACCTCTATCACACAGAGGAGCCGACAGGGTTCCATGCCTCGGGATCCAAGGCGGCTAAGTGGAAACTGTTCCCTCAGCTCCTCCACAACGTAGCTTCGAAGCTGACCTAAAAATTGCTGCTGATGACCAGAGCAGCCCTAAGTGAGTGAGCGGCTGAGAGGCGGGCGGGCAGGACGAGCTGTCAGTGCTATTGCCATTAGAGACGTCTGCCCCACACCAAACACAAGGGCGGGCGTTCCGGGGAAGGCAAAAGTAAGAGAAGCGAGTTGAGAACGAATACTTTCTTTCGGTAAGACATCCCAGGCACGTGCACCAGCAGAAGGACAAACAGGGCTGTGCCTTCAGAGCCCAGCAGCAGCCGCGCAGCGCGGCGTGACGGCGCTCACCATCTCGTAGGTCTGCATGGCCAGCTGCACCTTGTCGTCGCTGTACTCCTTGCATTTACCGTAGGCGCTCTGGATCCTCCTCAGGTGCTCCACTCGCTGCTCGGCTGACATGTTCTTCACCGACTCGATGTACTCCGCGGCCAGGCGGTCAATTTCGGCTTTCTTATCTGTAAAGCCCGCACACCGCACGCACGCGTGAGGAAGCCGCGCTCCCAGAGGAGCGAATCCCCCCCGGCTGCCCGCGGTGCGAGGAGCCCCGCACGCACCTTCGGTCCTCTGGTCCAGCTCCCGCATCAGCTGGAAGTTCCGCTGCAGCTCGCACGGCAGGTTCTCGATGCCTGAAACAAACACGCAGCGCCATCAGGGCCGCTCCCCTCGCGCCAGACCCACGCGGGGACTCCCGGCGCTCCCGCCCGCCCCGCTCGGTCCCGCGGCGCGGCGCGGATCCCGCCCGGCCGCGGCCCCGCGCTCACTGTCCAGGTAGTGCTCCAGGTACATGGCGGTCGCCATCTTGCGGCCCGCGCCCCGCCGCCGACAGCCGCCCGCCCGGCCCGCAGGACACGGGCCGCGGCCCCGGCCTCATCGCATATTCACGAGGCGCTCCGTGCCCATTGGCCGCGGGGGGCGCTCCGCGTTGCATATTCATGAAAGGGCGGGGCCTAGAGGTCGGCTCGGAGGACTTCGTCTCTATGGCTTCTCGCTGCCTAGAGCGGCGATGGCGGGAAGGGGAAGCGGGGGGGGGGGGGGAAGCTGGGCAATATGGCGGGCGGGCGCGGCGCGTTAATCGTGTTGGAAGGGATGGACCGTGCCGGGAAGAGCACGCAGAGCCGGCGGCTGGTTCAGGCGCTGCAGGCCGCCGGGCACCGCGCTGATCTCCTCCGCTTCCCGGGTATGGGTTCCCGGGGTGCGGGGAGCTTCGCTGAGGGACGCGGCCGGGCCGCCGACCTCTGGCCCGCTTGGTTACAGAGAGGACGACGGAGATCGGGCAGCTGATCGGCGCCTACCTGGCGAGGGAGAGGGAGCTGGAGGACCACGCCGTGCACCTGCTGTTCTCCGCCAACCGCTGGGAGCACGTGTAAAGGGCGGGGAGGGGGACACGGGGCTGGGGGAGCCAGGCGGAGGCGGTCACAGATCGGGGCTGCGGGCCCCGGGCCGGGCTGTGGTGCCCAGCCAAGGGCCCCGCTCCCGATGGAGGCTGTGCGGGCCGCGGCCTGGTGAAGGAGCGTGGCTGCGGGGCCACCCTGCGTTCCTATTGCCCTTCCGGCCGGGAGTGAACTCCCCCTCTCTGTTGGAGCGCTTGTTCTGAGTCCCAGCCAGCAGCTCCCTGCCTGCTGCCACTTACGGATGCCAATGAAGTTAATCATTCACCCCCGCCACGCCTCCATGTCACCACCTGGATTCTGAATCATGGAATCATTAAGGTTGGAAAACACCTCTAAGATCACCAAGTCCAACCCCACCACACTGTGCCCACATCCCTCAGCACCACATCTCCACAGCTCTGAACACCTCCAGGGATGGTGACTCCCCCACCCCTCTGTGCAGCTGTGCAGTGCCTCACTGCTCTTTCTGAGAAGAAATTTTTCCCAATACCCAACCTTCAAGCAATGCACAATTGCTTTGTGGCAGCCCAGAGAGACTGGACAGATCACAGCATCACTGGGCCTGGGGCACAGCCTTTGGTGTAGTGAACTGCAGCAGGAAACGCTGTAAATAAGGATGCTTTTCTCTGTCAGAAGCAGTGTATCACAAGCCTATTGCATCAATTAAGGAGGATGGAAGACTGAGCTGTTTGAGCTGCTGTTGCTCTGATCAGTGATCCTGCCTGTGAGCTGTGGAGCTGCTCTTAGCAGTATCTTGCACACATACCTGACTGTGGGTGTTCTGAAAGGGTATTTCCTTAATGAAGGCAGAGCATGAATAGTAATTGATCCATTGTTGTCACGGATAACACTGACTCTGCTCATGATCACAGTTTGTGATGAAGTACATTAACCAGCTTTGTGAATTGTCTTTACATAAACTCTTTTTATTTGTCTCTCTATAAAAGTCTGGCTTTTTTTTTTCCCTCTTGGTTTTCAGAACATCAATGAAAGAGAAGCTCCATCAAGGGATCACGCTTGTGGTTGACAGATATGCCTTTTCTGGAGTGGCCTTCACAAGTGCCAAGGAGGTGAGTGGGGAATGTAGCAGGCCCTGGCCCTCTCTGTATTTGGGGAAACAGGAGATGAGTAGAAGCTTAGTCTGAACTTCAGTTTCTGTGGTCTAGGCTTCTCCTATGGGGAAAAAGTGGATTGGAACTGAGGGATGAAAGGGATTTCAACTTAGGTCTTGACGTGGCCTGTTTGCCTGTGTCTACCCTTAGAAAAAGTAGAGGAACATGTTAGGTTGCTCACCAGTATGGTAGGCTCAATCTAGTACCATAATGGAGAGCCCCAACCAGACACAGTGCTCCAGATGTCAGTGCTGAAAAGAGGAGAAGGATTCCTTCCCTTGACCCGCCAGATGCACTCATGCTTATACAACCAAGCTGAGTAAGCATAGGGTAGGTATTTAAAAAGGAGTCTTTGTGGGCACAGGCATACTAACACTGCATGTCATTTATGTTACAGAGCAGCTTTCTTGTTGACTGATAACAGCTGTATGGAGACTTCAGAATATGACTCAGTATTTCCCCCTGCTGGGCTTTGTGGAAGAGGTGTTAAAATCATTAGCTTTACTTAGCTTCAGTGAGAAGCTGAGAGGTACACAGTGCCTGGAAAAATCTGGATTCTCAAAATTATGGGGTTGAATATTAAACTGGGATATCTCCGTTTCAGTTTATAGCACTGTGCTCAGTGATCTGTGCTGCATCCTTATGACTGTTCCTTCCTCAATCCCACTCTCTAGCTGCCCTTCTCTCCCTTGTTCTCATTCATTTTTTTTTCACTTCAGACTTGGTTTTCTTTGTTTGGGACAGAACTTCTGCCTGGAGTGGTGCAAACAGCCTGATGCTGGCCTCCCAAAGCCAGATTTGATTCTATTTCTTCAGCTGAGCCCAGAGGAAGCAGCAGCACGAGGGAACTTTGGAAGAGAACGTTATGAGAATGGCCCCTTCCAAAAAAAAGTTCTACAGTCTTTCCATCATTTGATGAATGAGAAGACATTAAACTGGAAGGTGAGGAAATAACCCTGAGGGTTCTGTCATGGAATGGAGTGGGGAGGAGAGTCTCATGAGAGCTCCTGATTTGCACATACTGTATCCCTGTGCTTCCTGTCCCCTGCAAAAGGGTGGAGGTTGTGCTGGAGACCAGCCAAAGGCACAGCAGCCTGTGGGCAGCTGCTACTCTGGGACACTTTAATGGGCCCTGTTGGAGTCAAGGGAAGAGTTTTTTTTTGTTTTGCACAAAAACTTTTCTGGAAATCATTCTCCTTAAAGACAAGTTGATGAACCGGGGTAAAAAATAGTGAGACACCCCCATACTCTTTCATATGTTTCTTTCCTTTGTATACTGCAGCATCTGCCAAGGATGTTGAAATCCTTAGAGGTTTTGGGGCCCTCTCTCTGCAGCTTCTCTCTCCCTTACTGACAGTCACTTTCCTTTTCAAGTAGCCAGTCTTGACCAGCATTTACTATTCTGCTAAAGAAGAAGTCTCTCACAACACATGATCTCTTTTGTTTCATTCTCCTACATCACTTTTTCTTAATCGTCCCTTGGAGCTATTTCCAAAGGGCTGCACAATCAGCAGACAGAAGAGGAGGCATCCCCTATTGATCCTGAGTGCAGATGACCTAGGCAGAGGCTTTTCTGGTCTGGACAACCTTCTTACCATCTCCATCATTCAGTTGGTGCTCAGTCATGAGTTACAGGCAGCATTTTCTGTGTATTCTGTAGCTTTCACAGAGATAAAGAAGTACACATTATGGTTAAATTAGTAGTCACCATAGGCTGGAGATGTATGCAAAACTGGATGTATTGCCACATGATCAGACTGCATAAGGCAAATGTAGTTTGTCCCAGCCCACTTCAGGTAAACCTGCTTCTGTAACATGAGAGAGTTTGTATGTAGTAGGAACCTGAAGGAACAATTACCAAACTAGGAGATGTATTTTTATTCCAGTAAATGTCGTGTTAGGAAATGGCCTTTCCTACATCATAATGACTAAGTAAATAGGTTGATGAAAAACTCATAGCGCTTAAACTAAAAGAAGAAAAATAAGCATACTGTCAGAATAATCATATGAAACAATACAGAACTTACTTTATGTCTAGACTGCAAACTCTGATTTTTAAGAGATTCCAGCAGAGGAACATATTTCCCTGATTACCTGTCATTTGTTATTTCTCTTTTTTTTTCATCTATCCACTATGTGAAAGGAATTTTCATTTAAAGTATTGGCAATGTGTCTGCTTAAAATACCCCAAACTGCACCACACCAGAAGAGATGATGGAAGAGGTGAGAGGCGTCCTTGAAAGGAGTACAGAAATCCCATTTCAGTGCCCTTTAATAGTTAGCATTCCTGCCTATTTCCCCCTCAGCATCAGATAGAAAAATAGATACCAAACATTGCTAAAGACCCATTTAGTCCAAGACATGACATGTAGCTCAGTACATGTTAGAAACATGTTAGTACATCAGTTAGAAAAATAAACTGAGATCAGCAATCTGCTTGATATTGTGTGCTCACAAAGCTGAGTTGTTGGTTGTGCCATAATGAGAAGACTACTGTTTAATTACAAAATGTATTTATTGTATAGCCTCATGGTCTGCTGCATGATGCAGTATTGCACAGGTCGTTGTGATAAATCTGCACCTGCATTCATCTTTTAACCAATTCCTTCCTTCACTTTGGTTACCAGTAAGTAATCCTAAAGCCATGGAAACACAACTCTCACCAGTTCTTGTTGATTTGTGGTGACCTGCAAAATGTAATTCTGAAGGTGGAACATCCAGTTAAAAAAAAATTTGCCCAATAAAGTACATAAAATGATGTTGTATTTATGACTGACGTTCCCCCGGTCACACAGGTACTATGCTATTTCTTAAACATCAGGCTCAGTGAATGCCAGAGTCACACCAAACAACCAGTTTGCAGTGTTTAAAAAAACAAAACAAAATAACACAGAACAACAAATTAAAACTGGAAGATCAAAGGGACTGGATTTTGAGAGGTTATTATTCTGGATAGAGTTCATTTTGAAGAACCTCTGAGGGATGATACACTGAAGTTTCTGGGGCACTACAGTACATTGTGAAAAATGTTTACCTGGCTTGAGGTCAAAGGCTGTCAGCAAAAAGCGTGCAGCAGTGGTGTCTTGTTTCCCTTCATCTTCTCCACATCTGCTTGATAAATTTATGTTCCTGGGTGAAACAAATTTTCCAGTTCCACTGCAAAAGTAGTGCACAAGAGGTGTAATTAGCTCCTGTCAGTGCTTCTGGATGGCAACAATTTCGAGTAAAGGGGTTGAGCAGAAATAACAGGAAGATGGATTTTTCCCATATTGGAAATTGAGGAATGTTTCTATGCTTTTTTTTTTTTTTTTTTTTTTTGTCTTGGAAACAGACAATGGATGCTTCAAAGAGCATAGAAGACTTGCACAGAGAAATCAAGACCGTTGCAGAGAAAACCATGCAGGAGGTTAAAGATAAACCCTTGGGAGAACTCTGGAAATAAAGCAGTACAGGTCATTCTCAGTCCTAATGAATACTCACCTCTTGCACCTTCTTTGGCCAGATGATTCCTACATCACCTTCCAGTAACTACACCTTAGGTCACAAATGTATTCTTATGGGTCAAGCTTGTCCTTGTAACATCCTCTGCTTCTCCTCTTCCATTCTGCATAGTCCCCGGGGAATTGTTTGCTTTTTTTATAAGTGAATGTGTAACAATTCTTTTTGAAATAATTCCTCCCTACCTTAAGTAGGATCTCTTTTGTTGTAGGCTGTCCTTTAGTGCAGATGTGGCAACTGAGCTGAGTTTCCACAAATGTGGACAGCTTCAGCAGGTGAGGAACGGCTTTCCCATATTTGAAGTTTCATGCAATGACCATGTTTCTGGTTCTGCCTCTTTAGTGAAATACATCCCTGTACTGAACCCAACTTGTTTTGATAATAAACTGCTCTTTTAAACATTTTGTACCACAGCTAAGTTGTGGGCCTTTTTCCAATATGATCATTTATCTTCTAGAAGGATATATGGGAGGCCCTCAGTCCAGGGAGATGTTTGCTAGGATGCTGGAATGAAGGGACAGATGAACTCATTTTCAAGTCTGCTTCCAAGCTGTACATCAGGAATACAGAGGCTGAACTGCCTTTAAGGGGTAAGTGTCTGAAATAGACATGAACTTAGAGCATTTTGAAGGCTGAGTGGTACACAAATTCTTCTAGACTGGTTGAGTTTACTCACAGGGCCAAGATCAGAAGAGAGTCAGCAGTGAGTTCTATAAAGACTGAAGTGCAATTTAAACAGCCCTGTACACACTGCCAAACCAGATCAGCTGCATGTTCTGAGTGTGCCCAATTCCCTCCAGTACCATTCTAATTGTTACCTTATGGTGATGCTCATAGAACAGTCTGAGTTGTTATAATAAGGCTCCAATTCATGAAACAGCAATGGCTTTTGGTATTTAGTTATGGTGTATTAGGTTAAGAATTCTCCCACATCTCCAGCAATAGAAAATAAGTTGTACTTCTTAACTGAACATTGGCAGCAGCTTGCACCAACCAAGAGAGAAATGTATTCCAAGTGAGTAGCCTTCAACAAAAAGGACCTGCTATGGGGAGTACAAGCTGCCTGCTTCCAACTGTTGTCTCCTGCTACTGCATGGCAAAAAGGAAAAAAATGGTTATTGAGTTTAGACCTCTTTTTGTAATGTTTACCACTGCAGGCATAGTGTTTGAAAGGCTTCCTAGAAACAGACATTATGGAAAACTAGCAGTTGAATAGCTAAACAGTGAGCATACAATTGTAAAGGAAACAAATTTTATTTTCCATCTACCAATGTGAAATATTAACTTCTCAATCTCTGCTTGGCTCTTTCTCCTGCTTACCTCAAATGAACATGTGGCAGAGACTCACCAGAAAAGCATGTCCTGTCTTGGAAAGGCTTATGCTTTTTAGAAGCAGTGAGATGCTGCACTGCTAAGCAGGGACAGCCTTTTGGTACTGTTATATTATTTTTCTCCCCAGTGTTCATACAACTTAAAATGTGGGTAGCAGAACTAAACCACAGAAGTGTTTCTTTGTCTCTGCTGGCATGTTGTGATGTTCACTCTCTGGACAACAACATCAATCATCAAGGCAGTACCACAAAGCCAGCCTCTGTTCTAGCAGATAAGAAAGATTATAGACACTGTTGTACATAATTCAGCTTTTGCCCTAAAAGCATAACAATGGTATGGTGCTGTTGTTTCAAGACTGCTCTCCACTGCACTGCAGGGTTCTCAATACCACCCAACGCCACCTGAGATTAATGGACAAGAACATTAGGAAAGGCAAAAGATTTTAGATCTGTTTATTCAGATACAAATTGAAAGCAGATGAATGGAGCACAGCCCCAGTTCCTCTGCTGCCTCTTCCCCTAACTACAAGAGAGAAGAGGAGAAGCAGGCAGAAAGCAGCAAATAATAATTTAGTGACAGAAGCATTGTGGTTCCCAGTTCAAACCTCTGCTTTTGGGTAGCATAGGGACAGTTAGAGCATCAGTAGGTCAGTCACGGAGGAAAATGAGTAATTTCTAGCCAGCTGTCACCACCCTTGGGCACATAAGCATTAACTGATAGGTTCCAATCCTGTATGTACAAAACAAACCTTGTAAACAGATCTGCAGTCTGCAGCATGCACTAAGGAAACTACTTAGGCAACATTCTGTTGCAGCTTGCATCAAGTCAGTTCTCCTCCATGGTTTACCTTTCTCCAAATTCTGTCTGTGCAGCAGAGCTGTTATCTTAACGCAGTTACTACTTCTAATACCATGTTGGACCTTCCTTCTCAAGACATTCTGTCTTTGCTGACTTCTTTGGCGTGACTACTGGAAATGGGCTTCTATGGGTTAGCTCCTACAGTACCTTGCCCTGTGCAAACTCTGCAGGTAGGGGAGCTTGCAGAAGAGCAAGTGGAAAGGTAGCAATGCAGCTATGAAGCCTACTCAACCTTCAGGCATCTTTTCTGGTTTGGAAAGGGAATGTCTAACAGGAGTAGCTGGAGGAACTGCTCAGCAACCCACAGAGGATACCTTGAGGAATTGTATAACTTTTTTTTTTTTTTTTTAAACTTCAACAGGATTATTCACTAGATGCTATGCCTGCACACTGGGACATGTGGCAGGCATGTGGCTGGCAGATCTCAGTTGTCCTGTTTCACCTCTCCCCTGCAGTGGGCATTATTCCCCCCAGGGCTGTGGATTCCAGTTCTTTGCTCAAAGCACCTTTCCTGAAGATACTTGGTATGGACAGAAATCCATAGTAGAAGCACAGTGCGTTACCAACTCACTCAGGGAGAACACACACATTTTCTATTCTCCTTCCCTTCCTTCTGCTGTTAGTTGAGATTGTGATGTTCCTCTCCAGCAGCACAGGTCCATACTTTCCCAGACAGCCTTCTGCTTTTGAATTAGCACTCATTCATAAGTTACCCCAGCTCCCTTTTGACAGGATGTGAGCAGGAAAGGGCTATTATACCTGTGAGAAAGTGCTGTGCACTGCAAAGCATGAACAGGAGTTTCACTGTAGGAAACAGAGCCACCTGCGCTCTGGGGACTTCACAGCTGTCTCACTGGGACGTGTCTACTGTTAATTTGCATTGTGAGCTGCAGTCCAAATTGGCCACTGAGAAGAGAAGCTGCTAAAGGAAATAACTATACGTGTCATCTACTAAATGAGGGGTGGCTCTATTTAAGCTTCAGAGAGAAGTCCCTGTGTAAGGATTTAGCACTCTAAAGTTTCCTATGGCTCCCCCAGAAGGCCAACTGACCTGCTGATGTAACAGATAGGCTTTGAACTCCTAGGCACCACTGCATCCACTTCCAGCAGGCGTTTTCTGCTGAGAAATCCCAACTCCAGCCAGTAAGGCTGCAACACCCACTTGGTTCTTCATCCCAACGCAGACAATGCACGCTCCACTCAGAGGCTGCACAGAATGCCAGGATGGACAAGAGGCAGGGATGGCAGCAAGCACCTATGAAAACCGGTAGCCCCAGGCTCTCCAAGGAGCTTCCCTCCCCCCACTTCTCCCCACACATAACACAAATTTGCAGAGTCAGTTTCCTATTTGTTTTCAGAGGGATAAGATCTCGAAGTCTTCATCTTCTGAGTCAAAGAACCTTTCCAATCTGTCAGCATCGGAGGAGTCTGCAAGAGAAGAAGAAAGTGTTATCTCCATGGGGCACAGTGACTGCTCAGCACCACAGTAACTGGCTGCTGAACATGAGTGTCACAGACCCACACGCTTAAGAGGCTCCATGACATGTGAGTGAAGGCTCTGAGGAGGTACAGTAGCATGGAAAATGCACTTGAGAGAATTACATGGTAGAAGGTGCACCAGGTTTCACAGATCCTGACACCACCATGGTGCAGTGCAGATCTCTGTTGTGACTCTTTTGTACAGCCTTACTTTCCAGTAGCACAGCCTGCACTCATACAGAAGTGATTAATGCAGTATGTTTTGGAAGAAAGGGTAGTGTACTTGTACTTGCTCTCTTCTGTCTACCCTTTCAATTCTGTGGTGAAGAGGAAGCACATACGTACAGGAGAAGCAGCTTTACCATAGGGGAAATTCAAGTGAGAAGGTGTTTGCAAGCTGGGGAAGTAAAGGAGAAATCTACATGAATTCAGGCTTTAAGAAAGCACACACTAAACTTGGCAGAACATTCAGAAGCTAAACTACAATTCCTGATTGCTGAGAACAAGGACAAGTGCATGGACATGAGGCTGCTTTATTTCCTCTGAATATTCTGTGGTATGCTTTAATTCCACAGCAGTGTGTACAAATAGTGTCAATGTCTCTCATGCTAACTGTGGGTGCTGGCAACTTCCTCAGGCACTTCTCAGAGAGTAGCCCTCTATGCTTAAGTAACTGAACAGAGAACACAACTGACTGGTTAAAATGAGGACAAAGGACTGGACGTCCATGAGTGCATTGTTTATCTTTCTAGTGAGGGCTGACAGTAAGAAAAAGTATGGTCAAAACAAACAGGAGAGGCTCTAAAAGCTTGGGGAAAAGAAGGACGTACAGCTCATTAGGGAAACACTTTCATGAGTAAAGAAGGTAGTAATTAGGGACATTTTGATATAGGCAAGGATCAACAGACAATATAAGCAAATAAAGCATTGTTACAGAATAGGACAGTGAGGTAAGAAAGACTGTGGAAGTTCATGCTAAGAGACAGCAAGGAAGCAATGAATGCAGGATGAAGGTGACAGGATGCAGTCCAATGCCTGGTGACAGGGTAAGCCTGCCCACAAATAACTCACTCCTCTTGGCACAATTTGCAGGAAATACAGAGCCATTGGCAATGTTCACTTGCATTATTAACATGATAAGCAGAGTATGACAGCCAAAACAGTGCCTAGCACTTGTTGCTTTTTGCATCACCAAGACTAAGCAAATGCACAGGGAAAGAATCTCCTGCACTTGGAGGTATACATAACCAGCCTCACCTTTGTCAGTTTTTAATACCCAGAAGCTCAGTTTTCAGCCCTTTCAGTGGACCTTTCCAATTTCTTTAAGCATCTCTTTAGAAAGCATAAATTCATACTGTTATAGTAGCCCAAGATTTTTTTTAATCCAGTCATCATTCAGACTCTTCCTAAAAATCACTGAGATACCATGGGAATCTGAACCACTGGTTGAAAACCAAAGAATTAAACTGACCAAAAAGCTCCAGACCAACTGTGAGGGCAAATGGGAACACAGAAGAAGTCTCTGTGAAATTCCATACAATTTCTAGAAAACCAAACTCCTCTTAGCTCTGCCTCCCTGCACAGCCTCACCTGGCGTGAGATTCAGAACGTCGGGGTTGGAGAAATGTGATGGCTGGCGTTCAACCAGTTCAAACATGGGCAGAGCTCCTCTTACCAGGGACAGCTGTGGAGAAAAAACAGAGCCATGAGAACCTGCAACACCGTACTCGTTGCACTCTGGTTTATTAGGGAAGGGATACTGATCTGCTGGAACTTTCTTGCAGCTGAAAAAACGAGTTCTCAAATATTTTCACTCAGATTAGCTGCAGAATTTTAGAGCTAGAATCCTTTTGGTGTCTTAAACTATTTACATGTGTTTTAAAATGGGATCATGCTGCAGAGAACAAGCTCTCTGTGCAACACTTTGGAACTAATAATACCCTGTATTCTTTTCCCAGCGATATAAACACAAACCTTTTTGATTTGGTGGCACCAATCATTAAAGTCCTCTTCTGTGTGGCAGAAGAAGCCCTGTAAAAAGAAATTATCTTTTACAATGACCAAGACTGTGAGCAGTTACAACAACTAACTGCCTTGCTTCGAGGTGTGGCTTACAATGCCCTGTTAAACTGAGTACTCCCCACAGGCTTATCATAGTCAGACCGTTCAAGTGCTGATCAATGCAATGGTCTGCTCTGCTGCACAAGGAAAATGACAGAAACAATCCAAGTGGAAACCAAGGGCAGTGTCACCTCAGGTTCAACAAAATACAAATCACGTTGTATCACAAGTGTGATCTGCACGATCAGAAGTGTATCAGATTCAGGTCTGTTCCTTAGAAGGCAGGAATCGAAGTCTAAACTAGACTCCAGGGAAAGAGAATGCCCCATTAGAGAAGGCATTTAATTACTCTAGAAGCAGGATCTCTCTACCAAACTGCTACCTCAATGAGGAGCTTCTTTAACAATGTTACTGCAATTGAAACATATTTGCTCAGAGCACAGCCTGCCTGGAGATCACCCAACCTATCACCTCAGCCAGGTCCCTGTGAAACAAGGACTTGCTATTTCCAAGCTGGGCAGAAAACAAGCAGCAGGAACGCACCACTGCAATGGAGGGGTCAAGCTCAGCGATGCTCATTCTGCAGGGAGGATGCTGGCAGTGGAAGCTTTCATCAGGGAGACAGCCACTGTCACTGGGCTCCACTGCAGGCTGTGTAGTGTGGGGATCCAGGTAAATGAGCTCCTCACCTGGACAGACAGGCAACGAGACATCAACAGGAGAACCATACCAGAAGTTGCTTTTCTGAGAAGCAAATAGTGAGATAAAAGGAAGGGGGAAGAGCAATAATTGAGCCAGCTCCTGAAATCCCAAGGAGGAACCCATCATTTACTCAGGGCATCTTGCTTTTGGCCTCTCCTTCAATACTTCTCATCCAGACAAAGAGCCATTATGAGCAGAACCACGGCACCCACTCCATCTGTGTTCAAGACACGTGCA